GTACAATCAATGAGCGTTACAGTAATCAGTGACAGAGAACATGGGCAGTACTCACTTATATTTCTTGCTGTTTGTTAATTTGATTTTTATTATCCTAATGCTAACAAAAGTGTATGATGTCCTTTACTTAGTTGTGTAAAAAAAAAAAACAGTGTGTTTTTGTACCTAAGCCTAGCCCAGTGTACCCCCATATGCTGGCTAGGAATCAGAACCCACCTCCACCATCTCATCTCTACACATCCTCCATACTGTAGAGAACTGACAGAATGTTTCTCTTTTCTCGAGGAATCCAATGCATTATTGACATTTTTGAGATCAGTTGCTTCAGACCTCTTTGATGAAGTCACGCAGATTTGTTACTTTAATCTGGAAAGTAATCTATGTCTGGAGAAATATTCATCCAGGAAGAGGCCTTAATTAAAGAGTTCCCCAGATAGACCGAGGATGAGGTCAAGACCTGCCACAGCAACAAGCGTGCCTGCCTGAAGCCTTTTAAGTAAACTTAAGAACTAATAACTATGGAGGAGAGAAGCACAGAGTTCAGAGAGAAGTTTTCTTATTGATCCTTAATTATCCTTGTGAAAACATGCAGAATGATTTATAAACTGAACTCCTTTTAGCTTATGCCAATACATAATGCAGCATGTTGTTAGAAGTATGACTGCTTTCAGTCTGACACTTTTTCAGACCACAGCAAATAGTTTGGTACCACATAGTATAGTAACCAGAAACTGTGTATCTACAGTCAAAGGAATGGTAAAACTAGATGTGCCATAAAAGGTTACCTCTAAGTCACGTCTCAGCAATAAAGTTGATTTAATGACAAACTGCTCATTTATACTGTAACATTTTAGTGTGTACAATTTACTAACATCAGTATGAGGATGGGCTGCATGTGATTTGGATTACTGGGATGAGGCACAGGCATCATACTGATGTTACCTAGCAACAAGGTATTGTATGTCTCTAAGGCCAAACACTGTTTAATTCTGAAGTGAAGATGGAAAATTACAACGCCTTTTTATAGGATATTTTTGTGGATTTCCACTGTAATGCAAGGTACAGTAATTACCTACTTTTCAGTCACTTTACATTCAAAGTATGTTGACAAATCTTTGTTGTCAGATCTTTAGTGTATACACAGTGTTCTACAATTTACTTGTTTTTTGTTTTTCCTGAAAAATAATTGTAAATACTAATCAGTATAGCATGGCAGAAACTAGGGGGAACATACATAAGATCAGACAGAGTGGTACTGCTTTAGCAGGTGCTATTAGGTTTCCAAGTCATTTACAAGACGTACCAGTGTAAAAGCACTGCCCTCCACTGGCAAAATGTTGAAATAGCCTCATTTCTCCTGTGTGTTCTGTCATGTTGGTATCAGGGTGGGGCTATTAGAGAGAAATACTGCAATCTAGAGGTTTGAAGAGCCTGGTTTTGTTACATAACAGGAAGCAAAACCTTGAATTAGTTGAAAAAAGGCAGAAAAGGCAGAGTCAGGCCTGTATGACTAAGGGTTGGCGTTACATAAGCGCAGAACACTCAGTACTTGGAAGACACTGCTCTTGATCATCACTTTAAACTGTCACTATTAAAGAAGCTAAATTCACTGTCTGAGGGAATTTATAACTGATTACTCATTCCGTAAATCACACAAAAAGGCTACAACACTGATGTGGAATGGGGATGGAAAAATGTAGTCACTACCAATTCTACAAACAATCCTTGTTTAGCAGAAGGCTATGCATGTTCTCTTAGATGAAAATGTCTTTGCTATTGCGTATAAATATTGAATCTCTGTGAAATACCTGCAAGAGCATATTTTATTCATGAATCCTTAAAAAATGTCCACTTGTCTCCACGTATCAAAGCATATATATTATACCCAAAGAAATTGGTAATCATTCAAAAAGAATTGGGTCTCATTTCAGTTTTATAGCACTGACCATTACAACAGCCCCAAAATGCCAAAACGTAGTTCTTGAAAAAGGCTAGCTAGGTGCAGTGATGTAAGAAGGATGATGATTGTTTACCCATCATTTTGGGGAATGTGAATGTAATATCATTTTTTTTCCACAGAGGGAGCCATAGTCTAAAGAGCAAGCAGTGTGTGTTTCCATCCAAAGAGGACAGTCAGTATTATTTGTTATTTTGATCCCTGACTAATGCTTATTTGATGAGTACTCCTGACAAAAGCTTCATGCAATGTAAGATATACTGATACAAACATGTATTTTATGTACAAAAAAAAAAGGTATGTAATGTTACATTTTCAGGGGTCATTAGTTGCATAGTTAATTATAAACACTAAAACTAAAACTAAAACACTAAAACACTAAATAGAAATGATACAAAAAATTGTTGTTTTTTTTAAACCCCACATACACTGCCGCTCAAGCTGTAATACAGTGTTTAACTGTTTTTATAGCACAAATGTTGTTATTTTTCCTTCTATTTGTCATTAACTCAGCACCAGTAGCATTACACTAATAGGGATCATGTCGACTGCTAAATTAATTCAGCTTAGTGGTTTATGAAAGCAGTGAGATTTTGATGTCCTCTGAGGAAATCATCCATTATCCAGTGTGTGACCCCCTTGGCCCCTAAAGCTAGACTACGGTGAACCAGTAGGCTGTGACCCACTTCTTTTGTGCCTTCAGTTTATCAGCTCAGGAGGCTTTGTTTGTAATCATTCATCACCAGTGCCCTGCCCCCCACATCCTAGCCTCATCTCCCCCACCCATCCACACAGAAACATAAAAACAGTAATATCTGTGTAAAGTACTTTAAATCCTTAACCTTTAACCTGGGCTCACACTACGCTCAACTCAATACATATTGTGATGTTAATCCTTAATTTATACCCTCCCCCTAAATTAGCCTCTTAGAATAACTGACAAGCAGTTCTCAAAGATGTCTACCTCACTTTATGAGTACGAGTGATTAGCCTGACTTCTTTTAATAATTCAGCTTCTGGCAACCTCTAATATATGGAGACAGTACTAACTACTAACTAACTACAACTAATAAATGCTACCTAATGCCAAATGTGTATTTTTTTTTTTTTACAAGCAACACTTGTTACCTTAACTGCTGCCACTAAGTTAGCTAGTTACGTCTTGGTATGCTAGCCATTAGAAAGCCTAAACTGCTAATAGCAGCTAAGACATTAGTTACTTTTCAGTTAAAGTAAATATAAGAAGGAATAACATTACTCAAGTATTTACAGAATTGCAATCTAATTACCTTACTGGCTCCAGTATTTCAATTTGAGCTGCATTTTGGACGGAAACTGTTTCGCAAGTTATTGAAACGGTGTAAAACATGGATGTCATTAAAACATCGCGATACTTTTGTTCTGTCACTCTCTGATGTTCTAACCTCCCCTTTAGGCCTCCCACTAATTCACACATCCTATATATCTGGCTATGTATAATTACTTGTAGACGTTTGTGAAAACATGATGCCTGATATGAATGAGGTCCAGTTTGCTGGTAGACTATCTTGACCAGAGTTGTTTATTATTATTTAGCTTCAGGTCACCTGGTCGCTACTAGCACTAGGGGAGAGCAAACCATAGACTGTATAAAATTTATACATAAATTCTACATAAATTTATACCTTCTTTCATACAGTCTATGGAGCAAACTGACGAGTGGTCAGACCACGGAGTCTATAATCAATATACAGGTCAGAGAGGCTACTTTCTACTATTAAATAATGTAACTACTGGTGTAAATGTTTACGACTACCAATAGCAACCCAAACAGCTATTAATGAATTGGCTATATCGTCATAGACGGTACGCTAGCAAATAAATATCCTTAGCTGCCATTATCTACTAGACATAGCTAGCAGTTAGCTACATTAAGACCT